TATTTATTTATTTATTTTTAAGTTTAGTTCCCAGATTGTATACAACTTTATTGTCCTTATTCTTTCTCTAACGATACTTTGAAATCCTAGTGGTTACAGAGAAATATGCTAAGAATTTATAGTGGCTGTCTTCTCAGATCATGAACATTCATAATTCTGTTAAGTTCTAACATTCCATTTGGCCACATAAACTTCTGAATTATTGCAAACATCTAAGGGAGCTGATGGGAGACATTTATTAAACCATATCAAATTCCTAACATCAAAATATTCAGCCAACTGGGATCTATGTAGGAGATCCTGGATAGAATAGAACAATGTGGAACAAAACTCAAAATCATTCAAAAAAAACACTTTTGCTGGTCTGCTAGAGCCTGGTGAAACTCCTGAAACTATGGCCACCAGCTGCCCTTCAGGTGTGGAATTGAACCCACTCCTGTGGCTTCCAGCCAAATAAAAGGCATATGAGCTAAACATTTACATTAGGTAGATACACTCCTTGGAGAGATGATTAATGGGAGAACAGAAGGGCAGTGTATGCAAAGGGAGACAGCCTGTGGGGCAGGAGTGCATGGGAGGGTAGGACACAGAGTGTACACAGGGGGGAGGTGGCTATGGTGGGGGAAGTAGGAAGAGAGCTGTTACACTGTGGGAAATTTCAGTTGATGTCATGACACAGAGTGTGTATGAACTGCTGTATAGAAAGTGAATTTGCTCCGTAAACTTTCACCCAAATCACAATTTAAAAAAATAAATAAATATTCAGCCAACTCAATGTGGTAGAGAAAGGGATTTTTTTTTTCCGATTTATGCATGAATCACTATATTTGAGAAAGTAGTGTATTTTACACCTCTACATAGCTAGCTGAAAAATGACCACCAAGATGACAGAAAATGTAGATTCATGGAACGGCTGCAAAACTCAAATTGCTTTCAATTATTAAATACCTTTTAGTTGTTCCACCACATTATTGAGGTATTTTATGAGCTCAGGATCAGTAGTCACAAGCAAGGTGAGTCCATATTTTTGCACTCGAGTGAAGGTTTCAGATGGATATATGCCACGCTGATATAAGATGCTGTTGATGCCAAATGCTGAACGCAAAAGAAACGTTAAAGAAAAATCATCATCATTTGCAACTTCAGTAAATGAAATACATTGGGAGCTCTCCTGGCCTAGCACCTAAGGCATTAGACTGCTAACCCGGAGGCTGGAGGTTCAAACCCACCAGCCACTCTTTGGAAGAAGGAAGGTTGGGCAATCTCCTTCTGTACTGATACCGCCTGGGAAACCCAAGGAGGGGTAGCTATGAGTCCGGTCGACTGGACAGCAGTGAGTTTGGAACGGTTTCATTAATGCTATGAAACTGTAAATGCCTAAACACATGAGTTTGCTTATGTGTTACTGAAAGATGAATAGGTGTGCAAAGTGGCATTAAATATCCATAAAATCTTGCTTCTAAGTAAAAGTAAGGAATATGTGCATTTATGAGGCAATGAAAAAAAATTAAATGCCAAAATGCATTAACCTACCACTGACACATTTCATCTCATTGTAAGCCAAGGTCCAATTCAGATTATACTGTTAGAAGACGTCAAAACAGGTTTGGGCTGAGTGGTCAAATATCCAGGCAAGCTTCCTCTTCTTTTTGTCCTGCTTTTCTCCACTCATGTCCCGCTAGGCTCTATTCAAAGTTGTGGATACCGCTGGCCTGGCTTAAAGCCGTGCTATACAAACTACAGTGAATTGTGGCCTACCTCAGAATCAATCACCAGGTGGCAAGGGCTGGGTAAAAATACACACTGGTCCCACCCCAGCCTTACCAAGTCCCAGGGGGTTGGGGATTCACACTAAAGAAACACTCCAGATGACCGAATACACCGCAAGGCAGGCCTCCGCAACACCGAGGCCTCCGCCTCCACCATTAGCAAAGTGTCCAGAGCGTAGCGCCAGCATCCGACTCCTCGGGTGGGCGAGGGCTTAAATTTCAGGGCTGCTCCAGCCCATCCTGGCTCCCCACCTCTGAGGCCAAGCCGCAGGCCTGCGAGACTACTTCGGCTCTCCAACCCTGGCCTGCGCGATGAAGACTTACAGAAGAACTCGGCTACGATTTCGGCGCTCCCGCGTAGCGTGATGCCCTGCTCCCGGGTAAGCTGCAGCGCCATGGCTAGATCCACAGACGAAGGAACTCGCCTTCACCTGTAAACAGCGACCACAGCGGCTGCCACGGCAGTTCCCCGCCACTCGTTTAAAACCAACGACGCAGCCCGCCGTCTGGCCCTTCGCGCAGGCGCGATGAGTGGCTTGCTACCGCCACTCGCAGCGGAGCCCTCCCAGCCTTTCCCCGCCCTTACCAGAACTGGCCATTCGCGCAGGCGCAGTCTGTATACCTGGAGTTCTGCATGTAATCGCGGGTGAGTGGGTACTAATTTGGAGATCGCTTCTGAGAGTGATCATCAACATCGTAGGCATTTATTAGGCCGGCCGATTGAGCGAGGAAGGAACACAGTTTTCAGTTTGAAAGATGTTTCAAACTGAAGTGAACTGCCTATCAGCCGTGCTTGAAGTTGCCCCAGAGATCTTCATACTTGGCCATGCTGCCCCCTAGTGAATGCTGGAAATTTGTGGCCTTGGAGGACCTGACGTGGTGAGCGCGGTTAGTTTCGTGCTTAGAGAAACTGGATTAGGGATTAAAGGGACGAACCGCATCAGTTTTTGTAATGCTTTTGTTTTGAGCTCGGGGCCCCAAGCATAGATAGCATTGGAGCCGAGTCTGTGGCGGCGGGGGGCTGCGTCTAATGGTGCAGGCTATATGCTGTTCATCTTCCCATCCTTAGGAGCTCTGGTAGCATAGTGGCTAAAGCACTTGACTGCTAACCAGAAGGCTGGCGGTTCAAACCCACCAGCCACTCCTCGGAAGGAAGGTTGGGTAATCCTACTATCCGTAGTGATACTGCCTCGGAAACCCAAGGAGGGGTCGACTATGAGTCGGGGCCTACTTGACAGCACATAACAACAACAACTTCCCATCCTTTGGTGGCTGGTCAGGAATAAGATCAGATCACCAAAAGGCCTATCAACACTGAAAGTAAATTTTGACTCACAGATTGAAGGGTTTTATGTTAGGGTGAGAAGTATCAAAGAGACATAGCATAGTTAACGTGTATGTCATTCAGAAGGAAGGAATTGTTTGTAAAATGAAGTCTGAAAAACTACCAGACATGCTATGTTATTTAACTATATGAGAAATGCCAGTGTGTGTTTTTAATTTTTTTATCGCAGCCTAACAAATGACCATAAATTCAGTGGCTTAAAATAACCCCCATTTGTTACCTGTTTTATTGGTTAGAAGGGCTTGGCATAGCCTTTGAGTCGCACAAGGCTCAAATCAAGGTGTCCACTGAATAGATTGCCTCGGAGGTATAGAGAAGGAGCTCTGGTGGCATTGTGCCTAAGGCATGTGACTGCTAACTAGAAGGTTGATGGTTCAAACCCACCAACCATTCTGTGGAAGGAAGACTGGGCAATCTACTTCCATAACGATTTACTGCCTTGTAATTCCAAAGGGGGTGCTATGAGTGGGAATAGACTGGATGACAATGAGTTTAGCTTTTTTGGTTTGAGGTATGGAATACTCATCCAGGCTTCCTGTTTGTTGGAACAATTTCCTTTAGGTTGTAGGACTGAGGTCCTTAATAGTTGTTGGCTGGAAGCCACCCTTGCATAG